TTATTTCTGGGGTCTCTACTCTGTTCCATTGGTCCTCATGTCTGTTTTTGTGCCAATAACATGCTGTTTTGATGATCACAGCTTTGTAATATATTTTGGGGTCAGGAATTGAGATGCCCCCTACTCCACTTCTCTTGTGCAAAATGGCTTCGGCAATATGGGGTCTTTTATGATTCCAGACAAATTCTATGATTGACTTTTCTAGATCTGTGAAGAATGTCTCTTGTAATTTTATAGGGGTTGCATTAAATATGTAGATTAATTTGGGTAGGATTGCCATTTCAATTATATTAATTCTGCCAATCCAGGAACATGGGATGTCCTTCCACTTTTTTGTGTCTTTTTTTATTTCTTTTTTAAGGTTTTCATGGTTTTCCTTATAGAGGTCTTTGACGTCCTTGGTTAGTTTTATTCCTAAGTATCTTATACTTCTTGTGGCTATGGTAAATGGTATTACTTTCTTGAGTTTTGTCTCTGTCTGCTTATTGTTTGTATATAGAAATGTTACAGATTTCTATAAGTTAATTTTGTATCCTGCCAATTTACTGTATGCATTTATTACTTTGGGAAGTTTTTTTTATGGATACTATTGGATCTTCTATGTAAACAATCATGCCATCTGCAAGAAGAGATCATTTCAGTTCTTCTTTCACTACTGGAATGCCTTTTATTTCCTTCTCTTGTCTGATCGTATTGACTAGGACTTCCAGTGCTATATTGAATCAGAGCAGAGAAAGTAGGCAGCCTTGTCTTGTACCAGATTTTAGTGGAAAAGCTTTCAGCTTTTCCCCATTCAGTATAATGTTAGCTAAAGGTTTTCCATACATGGCTTTTGTTATGCTGAGAAACAATGCTTCTATGCCAATTTTACTGAGCGTATTAATCATAAAAGGATGTTGTATTTTGTCAAATGCTTTTGCCGCATCAATTGAAATGATCATATGGTTTTTATCTTTCTTCCTGTTAATATGGTTTATTACATTTATGGTTTTGCATATGTTGAACCACCCTTGTATTCCTGGAATAAAGCCCACCTGGTAGTGATGAATAATCTTTGTTACATGCTGTTGAATACAGTTAGCAAGCATCTTGTTGAGAATTTTTGCATCTATATTCATCAGAGATATGGGTCTGTAGCTTTCCTTTTTTGTCATATCCTTATCCATTTTGGGAATGAGGGTAATGGAGGTTTCATAGAATGAGTTTGGAAGGGTTTTTTCCTTTTGGATCTCTAGAAACAGTGTGAGTAGGATGGGGGTTACCTCTTCTTTAAAAGTTTTATAAAATTCAGAGCTGAAGTCATCAGGGCCAGGGCTTTTCTTTGTTGGGAGGTTATTTATTACTGATTCAATCTCCTGGTTCGTTATGGGCCTATTCAGACTTTCTATATCCTCCTGGCTCAATCTTGGTAGATTATATGTGCCAGGAATTTGTCCATCTCATCCAGATTGTCTTGATTCTTGGCAGTCAGTCATAGAATCCTCTAATGATGTTTTGTATTTCTAATATGTTGGCTGTGATGTTGCCTGATTCATTGTGAATTTGATGGCTCTGGTTCCTTTCTCTCATTTTCTTAATAAGTCTAGCTAAAGGTGGGTCAATCTTGTTTATCTTTTCAAAGAACCAGCTTTTGCTTTCATTTATGTTCTGTATAATTTGCTTATTTTCTATTTCATTGCAATTTGCTTGAATCTTTATTATTTCTTTCCTCCTGGCATTTTTGGCTTTTTTTTGTTGTTGTTGCTGTTTTTCTAATTCCCTGAGTCATGATGTTAGGTTGTCCTTTTGCCACCTTTCCATCTTTTTCTTGTGCGCAATAATTGCTATGAACTTCCCTCTTATGACTGCTTTTGCCATATCCCATAAATTATGGAAACTTGTGTACTCATTATCATTTGATTCCATGAACCTTTTGATTTTAGTCTTAATCTCTTCAGTAGTCATGAAGTCATTTAGAAATAGGTTATTTAGTTTCCATGTATTTGTGAACTTTCAAGGGATTCTCCTCAGATTAATATCAAGTTTAATTCCATCATAATCAGAGAAGATATTGGATATAGTTCCTATGCATCTGAATCTGTAATGGCTGGC